ATCATAATTCTGGAAACAAACCCATTTACTCTGCATATCTTTCACACACTGAATAACAAAAGTATATGAGATGACAATTATACCTCTAAACATATCTACCACTAATTAATTATTAATTCCCTGGGGCAATGTTTCAGACATTTGTCATTATGTGGTGGGATTATACAGCCATTATTAGTAAGATAGTATTGCCATCTTATTAAATGGTCTGTATAGCTATACAGTGCAGTATGAATAAGATGGAGCTTAGTACTTTCACTATATGGAGGTTGCAAACTAGGGTAGCCCTTGAAGGACATCAGTCCTTATGAGCAACAACTATGGATCCTCAATGCAATATTATTCTACATCAGGTTCTAGATTATATATAGTAACATAGTTACATAGCTGAAAAGAGACTGGTGTCCATCCAGTTCTGACTTTCTCACATCTGTTTTTGCTGTTGATCCAAACAAAGGTAAAAAAAAAAAAAAAAAATCCAGTTTCAAGCTCTTTCCAATTTAGAAACAAACCAGGACGAAATCCCTTCTTGACCCCAGAATTGCAGTCATATCTCTCCTTGGATCAAGAAGCTTTATACATGGAAATGCACAATCATTAATGGCTCTTGTGATGTATAGATTGTTCTACGATGGAATATAGTTTTAAAGGCAAGATTGTGCTGATAGCCGTGAAGAGAATATGCACATAGCCGAGTCACACATTTGAGTTAATTGGTTGATTATATATTTATTAGAACAATCTAATATTATGATTAACCGCTGTGTTGCTAACGTTTTGATTAGATCCTCAACAAAGCATCAATATTGTTGAGACAAGAAGAAAACGAAATGTGTCAAGATGGTCTTAAATAAGCCTTTGAAGACCAGAGATATGATTTTGGGTATTACACAATGTTAATCACGTGTCACTTGGAGGAAACCCAATATCTAGGATCAGATTGCATTCTTCAAGGGATCAGTTATATAAAGGACTCATCGAATAGCTATAGAGTATTGACTACACACATTCTGTTCCATAGAGATTGTTAAGCTATTTGAGGGTTGGCTAAGGTGAAATGCGAAATACTTTACCAGAAGTTATTTTTGCACCTCAAGACTACGGTTTGCATGCTCCTGTTTGACTACACTTCCCATACATTATTCAAGGTCTAAGAGATACAATTTAATTTTCGTATTTTTTGTTTTAGAAACCTTGTGTACTATAGATGTATTGCTAGCGGATTTCATAATGGAATTACTTTTGTTCCCATAATCGTTACTATAAATAATAAGACACAATAATAAGTCCTGATCCAATGCGTGCTGCAGTTTGAGTTTCCATAACCGCGAACAAGCCAAAAGGGAATATCACGCACTTGAAAGTGGAACTACAGGTCATGTTAACTCTTTGAAACATCTGGAACTGAACAACGTAATATCATTCATACTTCAATCTATTTTCATCAAACATAAAAATAGTATATCTCACGGTACATTATCAATTCATCAAGTCACAGTTGGGAGATTAACTAGGTCTATTAAGATGTACAATGGGAATCTCAAGCTTATCGAGACATAAGGGTCTTCCACCACTGCAATTTAACTTGCATTTTTTTATTTTTCTTGGTAACTAGGGACCATTGTAGTAAGATTTTCTCTAAATATTCCAACCGCATTTACTGCAAAAATTGTAATAGGGCTATCCAGATGTTTGAATCTCTTTAGACAAAAACAGTACAAAGTTTTAGAGTCTAATCTACAATATTCAGCCAATGGGATCAAATAATCTGCGATGATGTTTTACCAAAATGATACATGTAGAATAAGCCTCTTCTAAATTTATTTCCTAGATTTGGTCTTGGCCTTTGAGCCAAACGTTGGATATGTCATGAAAATAAGTATTCTGACAGCAAAATAAAAGTTCTCTCCATGACCCAAACAAGTCAGAACATAAAAGAATGCAATTGGAAAAAAAAACTTTCAAAACAATTATATTAAATACCAAAATAGCTTCAGGCCATGTTTTACTGGTAGAATGTTAAGATATGAATTTGATAAACATGAAAAATGATATTGCTACTATGATACTAGTTGGACCACATCAATCAAGCAGTGACTTATTTTTTTCCCAGAAGGAAATAAAACACATTTCTAAGAGAATATGATGATATATGTAAATTTCCCAACATCTGCAAAATGATTGTCTTTCAAAACAGAGCCAAGGTAAATAAGAATATGAATGCTTGCTGACCTTTAAAATGGTATTGCTACTATTATACTCAACAACAATACGAGCATATTTTCTATTTAACAGTCACTTAGCAGCAACCAAGCAAACACTCAAGGACTTGGTGTATCTGAATTTCTATGAACATAGCAATGACTACAGGTATTAGAGAGTTGAGTTGGATGATATTAGGGTTCTCGGTTTTAACTTCTTCAAGGTCAAACAAGTGGACGAATGCTCAAATGTCTGACTTGATCTGAAATAGCATGAATTTTATTTTTACTTTTTTTTTTTTAGACGAACAGTATTGATGGAAAATACAAATCACCTCAATGTTTAAAAAAACCTAAAATTATTATAAACCCAAATTTATGGATCCAAATTTTCTGCGTCATGCAACTTTGATAACCCAGAAACTGACTCATCTGTTCACAAGTAGACAAAAAAAAATATTATTAATTATATGTAATCAGCCTGCTAATTGCAGTCATTAATCTATTATTACGCTGATCTGATTCAATTATTAATTGTAGCAAGCTAAATTGTATGCTTATGATACAATTTGTCATGATCAGCATTAGTCCTTAGGTAAACTCTATGTGTGTATTACATATAGCTATCCCTGGGAGGCAGTTACTAGACGATTATTTATCTGAAGATAGTACTTTCTGATCTAAAGGCTTTCTCTGCTACTTAAATGAGATGTGAATCGGGTATTATAAACATAATTTTCAAACTTAATTATTTATCTGGTGGCATGCATAAACATTTTCTATCCTTCTACTTTTTTATTTTTTTATACTCTATAAAGATTTTATTTTTTTTAGTCACATAGTGTGCAATGTATACCAACATTTCTGAATTAAATTTTACTGAAAGAGTACTCCTGTTTTATTATCACTTGGATAGATCATGGTAATGGCCTTCAATGCATTTTTGTTGGGGGGTGGGTGGGGGAGAATTATAGATATTTAGGAGCCATTCTTAGTAAATTGATCTTTTGAATTTGTGCTGGTATAGTTGCAAAACTATAAGGAGATGTAGTGTAGATGCCTTTCTGTAACTCTCATATTGCTCAGCAAGCCTTCCAATAGTATGGTGTCTCACTGGTATTCTTGTATTTGGAGACTCAATAAAATCAAGTATGGGCATTGTCTGATAGTTCACTAAGTATGGACTGCAATTCTCGTAATGCTCAGCAAGCCTTTCTCTAAAATGCCCATACGATAATCTTTATTTACTAAGTGAGCAAGATTTAAGCAGCGTCTAACAGTTCCTCAACTATGGACTACAAATCTTATCAGGCTAGGCCAGCCACTGTCCAAAATCTGTCGTGCCAATTTGTTGGGCAAGCAGATGGGAAGCCTTGCTTCTTAGCAAAACTATGAGAACGTTGCACAGCGGAATGAAGAAAGTTTCTAGATAAATGATTGTGTGTAAGACTAGGCAGGAGAATTGGATTTCAGCACTGGACAGCGACCAGGTTCAGTTACTACACCAGCCAGCTCAATGCAGCAACACACAGCCCCAAACATCACAAACAAGCATACAGCACAGAGGACAAACATGGACACCCCTGGAGTGTCTGGACTACATTTCCCATCATGCTCAGCCAAACTTAAGACTGGCTGAGCATAAATATGGTTCACGGACATATGGGTGCAGAGGTTAATGTATTTTTACCAAGTATTGTGAATGTGAATGGTTACAGAGAAAGCTTTTCAGAGAGATTTTTTTATATTATCTTTGAACAAGCAGCCCTGCGTGTGGTAAAGGAAAAACTCATGCCCCACATATTGGCATTTTGAGCTGTTATAAACAAACTTTACTGAGGTTGAATAGAGGGGTTGAATACACAGTGTGGGGAAGGTGTCCATCTCTGAGTATTGTTCGGAAGAACAGATGATTGCCCAATGACAGGTGCAAAAATATAATATTATGTGTGTGTGTGTGTATGTTTATGTGTAAGGGGTTTTATGTGTATATATGTGGTATCTATGAGTATTTTGTGCATTTGTGTAGGTATATGAGTATGTATGTATGTCTGTGTCTGTGTGTTTGGTTTTATGTATGTGTGTGTGCTTTTTTGCGTGCCTCAATCAGCTACACTTATGCTGTTAAAAAAAATATAAATAAAGCAAAACTGCCCCTAATAACACAATGCGAATTAGGCAGCATGCTCATTACATGCATGGTGGAAGATGGGACCTGGCAGGGCTCTGTAACAGGCAGGGTGCACTTCTAATGAGCGCAGGGTCCAGGCACAGAGCCTGACAGCTATCGAACAGTCTATCTGCCTGGGTCTGGAGGGTACGAAATGCCAATTTACTGGCAGACGAAGAGAGGGGAGCATGCTGAGTGGGAGAGGGGCATCAATTCTAAAGTCTAATCCTTAATTTCCACAATCCTGCTAGAAATGCAAAATATATTTACACATGCTGCTTTTTCAAACTCCAATTAACGAGTAACTATGCAGAGAGACAATGAGAGAGATGGGGGGGTGGGGAGGGGGGGTGAGGAGATAGAGAGAGCTTCCTATCTAATAAAAAAAAATAAGTATACACATTAATACATGCACATCAAAGCAGGTAATCAATAAACGTTTTATGTGTATGGCTACAGGTTAATATAGAATGCATATACTCATGGCATTGGATTAGATTGCTCATAGCAGTATTCAATGCATTGTCTACTTGGTGTTAAAGGGTTAAAAGTTTTTGTTAAGTGACACAATCCCCTGAATGCACACGAGTTTGTATGATTTCTTTGGGGTTTTTTAAACTCAGTTACTCACAGATAAGACGGGTCACTGATGATTCCTCTGCAACAAAGGGAATGATTTGAGAGTCTTGCCATTATGATAAAATCCTTTTAGTCAGATAGCGAGACTTTCACATTAATGAAAAAACGCATTCAGTTAAAAGCACTGGAAATATCTGAAGCCCGATAGAACAGATACAATCATAGTGTGGATGTAATTAAGAAGTTTCACGCATCCTCAGAGATCGGGAGATGGAATTTTCTAAGCCATAAAAATATATATTTTCAACTAAGTAGCCAGGGAGGAAGTGATTGTTCCATCTGATACAATGTGTCCCCAGATTACACAGAGCTAGGCACCTGCACACATCATTGGACCAAGTGGGAAGATCTGGAGTACTTTGATGATCAGTCCTGGTTAAGCAGGAGGTATCCCTGAGCTCTAGTGATGCTTACTGTTGTATACGCTGCTCAATCTCTGAACGATCTTTATTCATGTGAACCTTTGCTCCTGGAGCAGAGATGTCAGTAAGCAGCACAGTGAGCCCCAGACAGATGCTTTGCTTTGATTCCAGAGTGACACTAACAAGGGCTGGTGTGTTCATACAACTGATTGGATGAGACAAAGATCAGTCTGATGCACAGGCCACTCCTATTCAGATTTCTAACCTCCCCCTTATCACTGTGTCATGCACTCTTGCTCACTATTACAGGTTTATCCTGTACCTCCAGCAGCACTACATCATTCCCCTCCATTGCTTCTATCCACTGACTGAGCTGTATTCATAGGAAGAATGAGAGAATCTGATATCCTGAGCTTCACTTCTCACTGTGGCATGATGAGACTTGTAGTCCATGCTTATGCTTGGTCAGTTTGCTGAATTTAATGTGAGTGGATTAGCAGAGTTTACGTTGTGCCTGATGGCTTGTTGGAGCTTTTGGCTGGGTGAGCATGATGGGAATTGCAGTCCTCAGCAGCATGACACCCAGGTATCTAGGAGAGTGTTGTAAGAATTGTAGTCTACAATGACCATAGTTGTCTGTCTCACGTGGCTGGTTGTTGTTGGTTAATGAGAGTTTCAGTGCTTAGCATCTGCAGCTGGAAGGTCTGAGGTTGCCTGTGCCTAAAAAATTATTTATGTTTCTTTTTTAGCATTTCTAGAGATTTCTGGCTAATCAAGTATGATGAGCATTTGTGAAAAATGGCTGATGGATGGCCATAGGTTAGCACAGCTTGTCTCACTTATTGAGTAATAGACTTGTAACATCATACTGCAGGACTACCAGGGATAAGAGGATGCTGTCAGTCATTATTTGAAGACATTTCTCTCCAGACCTACAAACAAAAAAATATTTGCAGTTCTCATTGCAAAGATGTTCTACAGCGACTAGATAGAGCCATGGTCAATAAACGAATACACTACACCTTAAAATATTGCACTTACATTACAAACAAGTCAGATCCAGTTCTCTTATCGTCTGTGCATGTATGCATTTTTTTTTTTGTTAACGTTATGTCTATAGAGTACTTCACATAGATTAGTAGTAAGAAAATCAATAAAAGTTACATTGATAATGCAATCACAGGGTTTGCAAGCCAGGGAGACATTATACAAAGTACATCACATAAAATGTTAGGATCTTAAGAACTGGATTGATCTAACAATGCAGTTATTAGCAAGCAGAATGAATATCAAATCATTAATTGTGCATATAGCAAAATAATATACAACATTCATCATACGACACGTGAAAGCATCGGGCGGAATAACAGTGGTAAGGGGTAAGGGGTAAGAGGTCACGGTGACAAACCGCCATTACCTGTACATTTTAAGATACCCCTCAGTCTGTCCTCCTCTTTTTGGCAAATATCCACCCCTCTGGCTGCATTGCCTCCAACTACAGCCTTCACAAAGCACTTCTGCCACAGTCTTTAAAGAAGTAGTTTGGGCTCTCAGGCGCTTCAACCATAAATCAGGTCCTAAAGCTCTGCTACTAGAATACCTGAAAAAATAGACAGGACACACCGTTCCTACTAGAACTACCACACAATAGTTTGTTTGGATCAAGAACTAACATTTAGTGACGAATCATTAAACATGTAGTAAAAGGCATTCATATACAAACATACACAATACTGAAGAACAAGCAATCATAATTAACACATCAAATATAATACTGCAATGCCTGTACATGGAACTGATCATTTTGGTGCATTACCAGGGTTGTTCACTAAATTGAGAATTCAAGTGAATTAAACGTGAATTACAAATTTAAGATCAGAGCTAAATTGAAAGCATAGGTGACTTTGAAAATGTTTCCATTTTCAGCTATTTTGACCTTAAATTTGAAATTCACTTTTAATTGTCCCTTTAGTGAATAATAACCCTGTAAATTAACACATTTCCATTAGACAATAGAGGGCACTACAGAGTCATGATTTACTCCCCCATAAAAAAAGAGGTTAGACTTTGGCGGTTATGACCAGACACCACAGTTTCTGACCTCCATCTCCTTCATCCAGGTGACCAAGCAATGGGAGGTTCTATCCTAACCAGCTACTAAATAAATACCATACTGCAGTGTTTGGTTTTTACAGTGACAAACTCATTCTGTTGTAGGGGAGTGGTACCAACTGCACTAATGTTCAAAGTCACTTCTGGGCGCTGAGATAAATTGACAACTACACCAACTCTCTTGACCTGGCTGAAAATGATTGCAGCAACCTCAATACAGAGAACATACTGACTTACCATCACCCCTAGGACATTCCATAACAAAACATTAGCAGATCACTGTCCATGAAGTCTACTGTGACATCTCCTCTTCCCAATCCCCAGTCCATGTAGGTACGAGCTGTAGACATGGCTTGGTAGGCTCCTCTTACTGATGCAAGAGTCACCCTTTTGGGTAACACCTGGCAGTGTGGGACACACGTGGACTGGACCAAAGTCATGGTAGCCCTGAGTCTTTGGTTGCAATTATTTGCATACCAACATTATGTAAATTGACACATATCCATTGGTCAGCAGAGGGTCCTGCAGAGTCCCCACAGTCCCAAACAGCCAGGAATTATTTTTCATAAAGTCGTAGCATAATTTCTCCATACTTCAGCAAGCCTATATATCACTACATATCCCATCCCTGTATCTCCTCTTGCCAGACACTTTTTCAAACCTTTACATAACATATTGGTCTCCATTTCCTTACCTACCCACTTCCTCCTTTCATTGATATCCATTTACCAGCACATGTCAATCTTTTCAACACTATGTAGTGTTTGTTAATTGCTTATGACCTCTTTACTGTGGTCAGCCCCTATCCATCCATCATAATGGATATGTCTTCTAATGCATTTGTTTAGGTGTTATATTTCCAGCCATTCCAGTCTAAGATTGTCCTGACATGAGGAGAAATGTCTGTTTCATTAACAGAGCAGACACCATTCTACTATGAAAATGCTTTTTTTGTAAAGTCCTCAAAGTGACCCAGCCAAGCATAGCACAGCACAATCCCATTTAAACAGTAACATTTGCATTAGAGGTGTATCATTTAAAGAACAAATTGGGGTGAACTAAAAACTGAATTGCAAAATATACGCAGCAAAAGCTGATTTGCAAAATTCTCCACCTCATCTATGTCGTAGCATGGCTCTTTTGCCTAAATATGACAATTTGGTTTTAAATGTGCTACAATGTAATGCTTATTGATTAAACACCATTGATTTTAATGATACATCTAGCAAGCAATAAACAGAGATATTTTCCGCTAAACTGGTAGCAGAACTGGTGTTCCCTGATGCAACTGACAGGGCATTCTGCATGCAGTCCGTCCCTGAATACTTTACATATAGGACATTTGCTTTACATATAGGACATACTGCCAGATACAAACAGGTTGGCTGAGTTATATTCTACACATGTTGTGCTATCCAGCTGTTTTCCTATCTTTTTTTGTCTCAGGAAAGTGGCACTGCTGGGGTCTAGTAATGATTGTCCCTGGCCATCTGCAGCTTTGTCCACACTATATGTATGGCTCAGGCAGAGATTACACTCTTCTTTCCATTTATGCCAATTCATGCCAGCAATACGGTGCTGTGATAGGTTGAAAGTGGTCAGCCAATCATAGCCACCCATTGCTATTGAGGCTAATGCTGTCTCATTAGCCCATGCTGCACAGAGGGGATAGGCTATTGAGGACTCTCATTTAGCATTAAAACATTAAAACTGGTTTAATACTGAATGGTAGAAAACTCTAGACACCATAACCACTTCAATTAGATGAACCAATTACAGTGCCCACAGTGTGCCTTTAAATCTTTAGTATCCTCCCATGTCATGAAACACAGCCTAGAGGTAACAGATATGGCAATTGACAGCCTTTTCTCAGCATCAATACTCTCTCTAGTACTACACAGGGGGTACACAGCTGAGGGTACTCTCTGAGTCTCTCCCTCTGGATATGGGGGTCAAGACGACAGCTGTTTATTTTGATCACTGGTTTATTTTGATCACTGGTGACCAAAATTGGTACAAGAATGTTTAACAATGCCATTTCTAATGTGACTAATGAACTTTCATACATTATATACTACAAGCCTCACCAGCCAAAATACATGTTTTTTTTTATTCATTATTTCATGCCATGCACATATGAATCCATCATAAAATGATGAAGCTAATTAGCATAGCTGTTTCTGATTAATATTGCATGAATTATTGTATTGTTCTCCACTGTGATGCTTCAGTTCAAATGAACCATTATTCAGTCTGTTGCTAAATATTTCAATATAGATTTGCTTACAGTCTTGGGAATCAAAATATTGACACGGCGCACTACTAAATGCTATCACACCCCACAAAAGGTCTCTATCAATTAAAATGAGAACATTCTAAATCAGGGGATATTGGCAAGTAAATTACTGAGCATTTTCTGATGTTTAATTCTCTAGAAATGTATTCTCAAAAATGTTGAAGGATTTAAAGAAACATAGTCAATGGCTTTGACCTTATTTTGTTTTTTGCTATTGTCCAATATTATTATATTATTTTTCTACAATGCAATAATTATGCCTTGTTTCCACTGAGCAGATCGGTTCGGGTCGGTACAGTTTGGAAGGTTTAGAATGGTTTCCACTGCAAGTCAGACCTTCACGGGCCATGCAGGGTTTAGAAAAAATGCTCTTCCTGTCCACCAATCAATGGATTGTATAGTAGCTCCGCCCTAACCGAACCGTTCCATTTCCTATGGCCCTACATTTGAAGCAGGACTCTGAATGGTGCGGTGCGGTACGGTTCGGTTGTATGGGCCCCTTTCATAATGGAAACACTCAAAATAGCGAACCATACCGAACCGAACCAATCCGCTCAGTGGAAACGA